CACACACACACACACACACACACACACACACACACACACACACACACACACACACACACACACACACACACACACACACACACACACAGAAGAGTTTACTGTCAGGATGGGTTCTTTTTAAACACACACACGTGTGTGTCCTAACAGCACAGTCACCAGACGTGTGCACATGTAACTGTTTGACATGTTTACTGTTTCTATCTGACGCCGTTGATCAGAACAAGTAACCAAGTCGTACTACAACCTGACACTGATCACATCTGCAGAGTTTTAGTTAACTGACATCAGTTTTAAGGGTTTAATTTTGCTTTAATTAACAATAAAAACCTCAATGATTCTCAGCAGACTGTCACTGAGACACAGGCCACAGCGTTCACACTCAGGCATCAGGATGGAGGACACACACACTCTGCCAGATTCTAGTGTGTGTGTGTGTGTGTGTGCGTGTGTGTGCGTGTGTGTGTGTGCGTGTGTGTGTGCGTGTGTGTGTGTGCGTGTGTGTGCGCGTGTGTGTGTGTGCGTGCACTAACTGGCAGGGATGCAGGGCCTGAATGATCATCACTGCCAGTCCATTGGCCAGCTTGTCAGTGAAACTCATGGCTCCGTACACGAACGCTGCACTTTGCTGCAAAGAGATGAACAAGTTCGCTCAAACAACAGGATCCTTCGTCCTCCGCCTCGGCCTTTCACGCACGTCTTACCGTCTGATCTGCAATGAGCTCCGCAGTCATGGCGAGCGATATGACCAGGATGGTGGCGGACCCGGCCCCCAGCAGCACGGCCGCCCCGTATACCTGCTGACCCATGGTGACGTCCAGCAGCACCCAATACGAGAACGCCATGATCAGCAGCAGGCCCACGAAGTAAGTAAGCTGGACCAATCAGAGGACAGAAGACACATGACAGTGACCCACTTCTGCCTTTTTGATGATGCAGATACAGAAGCAATCACATCCTGTTACTGAGTAATGAAGTATTGTTACTGTGAACACAGCACAGGCTCCACCTTCCCCATTTCTGTGGTGCAATCGTGTCAGCGTGACTGACAAGAACAAATATGACGTTTTGTTCTCAAAAACATTTGTTTTCTACAGCGAGGAGCGCAGCGAGTCCCTCAGAGCCGCTCGTGCTGCTTTCAGAAACCTGACCTGGTTTACTTACACATTTCCCAATGAGTTTGCTGACAGGCTTCATGATAAAGGAGGACAGGAAGCCGCTCACGTACATCACCAATGGGATGGTAGCTATGAACTTCTGTTGGGAGGAAAAAACAAGCAGAAGATGAGCGCGTGACGACAACCCAGCGTGTTACGGGCGAACTGGACGATTTCCCGTCACCTTTGGCAGCCCCAGAGTGTTGATGAGATACATGGAGATGTACGTCTGAGACAGGTTGACGATCAGCCTGGTGGACATGTAGAGCACGGCCACCTGCAGAGACACAGCGAGCAGGTCTGCTGATGCAGCTACGATATCAAAATCCTACATCTCAAGCTGAACGGGCGCTGACACCCGCCCAGCCTTGGAAGCTGCTCCCGTCATTCTGAAGAGGTTCGGGTGGAGGTGGCGTCAGTGCTTTAGTCATTCAAAGCTCCATACCTGGTAGAAAGAAGGCTGTCGCAGCCAGCATTTCCACTGCAGGAGAGACGAGAAGGTGTTGGAGCGCGGCAGCAGCAGCCTCCGCTCCCCCTCGGCCTCCTCCGACTCCTCGCTTGCTCCATTGCTCTCTTTTGTTCCCACGTGGAAAACGACGGAGAAGACGACACCGATCCCCAAAACAATTAGTGACAGATTCTGCAATTACACACAGCGTGGCACACCTCATCATCGCTGCTACAAACAAGCTCCTGCTGCCCTGAGTGGGCGGAGTTATCAAACCCTGGGATCACATTTTAGGGACCGTTTCTATCGACTGTTCATTTCTGTCCCACCTGTCAGCCCGGCAGCTTCTGCTTCGTCTCCCCTCTTTAAAAGCTGATCTACACAGTAAATATCATCCAGATGCAGCACGGCCGCCATCTTTATATGCTGAGTGCAAAAGTATCATTGATGGCTTTATGTGGTCTGTACAGTCGTCACCGTATAAATACAAAAAAGAAAAGTACACAACTTTGCTGTCACACTGTTACTGCCTGTTCCTGTGTGCAATTGAAGGTAATTAGGTTCAAGGAGGCTTTGTTCTAGAACAGAGGGAAACCTGGATAAGCAACCCAAAGCTTCTTAATCTTGTGACTGCGTCGAGGAGGCAGCACTCACAGAAAGCCAAGTGAATAATGAATCTGCTGAGGGGGCAAATCTTCCCGTCACAGCCCTGCACAGAGTTTGTGCAGCAGCAGGATATACAGCAGCGTTTGTGTTTAAAGCTGCCACAAACCCAGAGAAACCTCACCACTGTCCTGATCTGCTCGTGTACACAGAAAACTGCAGGTGGGAGCACCAAGCACAAACATAACATTAACAACAAACACAAGAATCCTGGGTCTGTATTTTCTGCTTGAATAAAAACTAATAGAAACGTGCACCTTTCTGCAAAAACAAGTGTAGGAAGAGACATTTACATCCTGGGTTTTTTCCACAGTACACATCTACATTCACAGTCTTACAGAGTACGCTGGCAGAGCCAGAGGCTTGAACTCCAACAGCTTTCAGCCCCACTCTGATGCTGCTCCACCGTGCTGTGCTCGCAGCGATGCCCACGCGTCAGCCTGCTCACCCTGAAGATGATGATGTCTGCTGGTCCCAGTGAATCAGGGTCTTCATCCTCTCCAGCCTGGACGTGAAACAGCAGGTAAGCCACTCCATACACAGTGATGTTGGCTATCACTGTGAACGCGTACCTGCTCCCACACAAAGCACAGAGTGGACATTCACACCGTGATGCACGTTCAAGGTGAGGAAACATGAAAAGGGTGATTCTGTTCATCTGGATGTTTTCAGTGGGAGAAACGTTTCATCCTCATCAGCTGACTGCAGGTTTCAACCTTATAAACAGGACATTTGCACAGTGACTGAAACCAGCTGACTGAGCGCTGGGCTGTGAGGTCACTTCCTGGATGTTTTCAGTTTCTGCCACTGAAAACATCCAGATGAACAGCATCACCCTTTGGGATGTGCATCTATCTTTTGATTCTCGTCGTGTAAAGCACGCGTGTATTAACCTGTACGCGGTGAGCTCTACTTTAGCATGCTCACAAGTGACCAGCTCTGGGATGAGGGACAGGTGAGAGATCTGCGTGGCGGCCCAGCCGAACTGAAAGATGATGATGAATGGGACGAAGTAGATTAGACTGGCCCACTGAGGGGTGAGGAAGCTGCAGCCCACACACTGGTTAAAGATGAAGGCAAAGGAGAGCACTACGCTCAGTGTACCTGGATGTAAACACATACAGAAGCAAAGAGATGACACAACACGGATCATATCTATGTATTATTGGTTTTTCATTGACCCCCTCCCCATTAACTAGTAGCAGATGAGCACAGAGGAACATAATGAGAACAGAGCTCTTCACAGCTGACCTCAGTGGCTAACAGGGGTTTGGTTTCCCCTCATCTGCCGTCTGCATGCATCAGGACTATTTCAGCAGATGTTGCACAGCAGCTTGGCAACCAGATGACGCAGTCGCCCAACGAGAACTCTGGGGAAACTTTCATACGTCTCAGCACGGCTGCTTTTAGTTCTGTGCTTTTGTTCCTGCTTGACAGCTGCTTTGGTAACACAATAGGCAACAATATGCACAAGCCTCAGCCTGTTTCCCTACGGGGCTCTTGTTTGCACTTTTGATGACATTTTGCACAGCGTTAAGTTGTTAAAACGTATCATGTGAACCTGACCAATAAAATCCACGGTAGGTGTTGGAGCACAGTCTTTCCATGTATATGTATATATGTATACATGCACAGCAGACCGACTGTGGTTAATCAGTGCAAACCTACCTTGACCTTTTGGTTCATATGGCAGACTTTCCTGGAAAATAGCACGGTAAACAATTAAAGTCATGAGACGGGGCAATATCCACGCATGTTTTACTTTAGCCCTAAATTTTTATAAGTGCATTTTAAGTCTCACCAGCCACTCACATTTAACTGAACCGAGTCGATGTACTGAAAGTCCTGGAGTAATAAACAACTTCACGGCTGTTATCATCAAACTAAACAAAATCCAACTTGAATGAAGATGATTTCATTTTCCAGGGACGTCATACCCAGCAGTGTTTCTGTGTGTTGTGGTGGGATTGAAGCGTTTAAGGCAAACTTTGTCTAAACTGAATGTTTCTGATGTTTGGTCTCCAGCAGCCACCATAGTTGGGATTATGCACTTGAAATGGGAACGGTGGGAACGTCGATCTCTGCCTGTAGTCACGAGAGTTTACACACCAACCCTAAAAAGCAGAGCTTTCAGATTTCTGCTCACAACACTGTTTCTCCTGAAAGGCTAAGCTGATTGTTTTGGGCTCAGAAACAATCAGCTTTTATTTCCACTCAGCAAAAACTGAAAAGACTCTGATGGATAAAGACTCAGCTTATCTTCAAAAACATCACTATTCCCAGTATGGCTATCACTGCCATAAGAATACACATACTCTGTGCACATGCTGCCTACAGAGTATGTTACCCATAGCACGTGTTAGTAACTATGACCAGACGACTGACTGGTGTCTCAGGTCCACGAGGCCCTAAAACAAAACGACACCCAAAATAAAGAAATAAAAATGAAGACGTTACTCAAACGCAGCTTAACGACTCTCAGGACACATGACCTCAGAGAATCACACACAGAGTCATTGATGTGCACAGTGACGACTAAAACCTGCACTCTGTGCTGTCACGATGACAGCGGTGACCGTATGACATTATTTATAAATATCTCAGTTATTATTCATGCTCATAGGTTAGCAACAAAGAACTGAGCATGATCTAACGTGTTCATTTTAGGATAAACAGTAGTGGCTGGTTGGTACCAGAGCTGCGGGTTGTGCTGCAGTGGACCTGCCCATTGTGGTGTTTCATGGTGAATGCCAGTCAGGCTTTAAAGAGGAGGAGAAAATGTCTGCAGCAGCATCTGTTCAGGGGTCTCAGTGTCGCCCCTCTATGGCGCATGGATTTAATGTCATTAACACCAAAGCAGTTGAAACTTAACCTCTGCTGAACACTATGAACACAGAGACATATCCATGCGCATATACAGATGTATTTATATATGAGAGACAAAGGGCTCTGCTTTCACTTTGTGTACTTACCAACTAAATGCCACGTCTTCCTCTTGCCGTAGTTTCTACAGCCGGGGCTTCGGTCGGACTCGTAGCCAATAAGAGGCGTACAGATACCATCGGCTACCTGCCCGACCAGCAAAAGCACACCTGCACCAAAGGAGACACGCTGTGACCTACTGCAACAATCACTGAGAACAGACACAACAACAGCAAGGACACAGTCACTTATATCCGTCTGCACCTTGGTGTTACAGCACCGCACGCTGAAGCTAAACTGTTAAACTGTGAGTAGTCCTCACAGTAAATGAGGACGGATGTGCAGAGACAAAGACAGTGAAATACAAGGTCTTAAATAATCAGGCCCCATCTTATCT